CCGTAGGTTGGGGGGCGGTGTTGGCAAGTATCCTAAACCAAAATGAAAACAATGCATAGACAGCCAGCAAACAATTTAGAATATGGGTGTATGCTTTTTTGATGAATTTAACCTCTAGAAACGCATAAAAAAAAAAAACGCCTGTTTTCACTGAAAAACACAGGCCTGCATTCCGACGCACTCTCTAGGATTCAGGAGTAAGGATTTAGGGATTAGGGTTTAGGGTCTAAACTCCTTAAAGGGGGCAATATAGGGCACGGGGGATTTTATACGGGAGTATCATAGGGCTGTTACGGGGGATACTAGCAGTTTAGACTATAGCTCATATCAGTGTCAGACGAGATGTATGCAGTTGGCAATGTACTTGTCTTGGGCAACTGACAAGGGCGAACCCTCAACCGACAACCCCAAAACCTAGAACACCGACTGTCTCATGGTCTCTGCGCTATGACATGAAAGAGATTTGGTTCGGCATTCATCTGGGGCTTCCGTAAACATGGATCCCAATGTGCTATAACCCATGTGAATGGGATTTCCCAAAATAAGGGGTTCTTTTGGGTGGATTCCTATACTAAGGCTTTTACTATATCGGGGACTATATTTGGAAACTCCCCAATCCCTTCTGCATGGCATATGGCCAGGTATTCCTACCCGGAGGAACGGTCCATCAAGGACAAGGAGGGTATCGAGCTTCAAGCTGAGATTTCTCAAGCCGCTTTTGCAGTTGTTGCTGCTGTTGCTCCTTCTGTTCATAAGCCAGAGAGCCCAACACCCCTTGCTTAAGGAATACACACTACATGGTACTAGGGTCCCTAGCATGATTTAAAATATATTCCGGCTCCCTGGGAATATCCCCAAACCCATACAAGTTACAGAGTGTTAGTAGGCACTACGGGAATATGTAATATGGGGATGGATCGTATTCCCATCTTCCCTACCACCCGTAAGACAAGTGCTCGGAACTGCTAATCATTTTGCATACTTTGGAGGCCGGTAGGGTTTCTAGGGTCTCCACCCTCGGCTGACTTGGACCAGAGCCCACCAGGCGTGGCGTTGCCGGTACCGTCGAGATGCTGAATCAAAAGGAGCTCATGTTGGAGTCCCCCTCAAGAGCGGGTATCCTACCCCTTTTGACTCGAAAGTGGGTATCCTGACCCTGTGAAGGCCCAACGGATACTTGTTGACTAGAAGGACGGATTATACACCTCAGAAGGGGTGCATGCTATCCAGAGATTTTCCTTTAGGGGCCTCGACCAGGGGATTCACGAGTTCAAGCGTTGGGATACAGTGAAGAGAGTAAAGCTGCAGGGAGTAATGTAGACCCCTGATTAATAAACCCCCTCCTTTTAAGGGCCTGAATATTGGGATCCCTCTTATAATCCCTATTCAAGGGAGGGGGTTTATTAATCAGGGGTCTACATTAGGATTTAAAGGTGGTGTGGGGTTTGGAGTCGGGCCTTGAGATTGGCGGGATCTCGTGGGCTTATGAAGTAGTTGGGGATGACGCAGAAATACAGGGATGCCTCCTCACGTCCTTGTTCTGGAGCCAGCAAATCTGAGGGGCCTCAACCATTTAGATGCTTACATCGTGATGCGTTGCTTCCTTTCTGCAAGGAAACGCAGGCAGAAACTTCCTAAGCGTTTTGAACCCTAACTGCCCTACACGCCTGCTGCAAAATGCAGACATTGTGGTATTTTCATGAGTCCTGAGTTGCTCCACTCACACGTGCCACCCTAAAACCCCCTGGACCCTGGATGTCCTTCCTTTTTAGGATTTTTGCCCTATCTTTATCTAGGGTATATTCCCCAGAAAGGTAGGATAATCGGATACCCACCCCTAAACCCTAAACTCCCAACATGCAGCAGAGAGGAGCTGTCGACCCAACCTGTCATTTCCTTTGCCAGGTGCTCGGATCTTTAGGGGGTGCTGTGTAAAGGTATGTGGGAGCTTTTCAACAGCGCTCCCCATGTACGCCCTGAGGGTGTCTACTTTATAAAAATTCTTTATGATCACTACATACTGTATACCTTCAGGGTCCCTACGGCGCTTCACCGCAGTTTTGGACACTGTGCAGAAAGTATGTTCAGGTGCTGAACGTCTCAATACGTAGAAGATGCTGCTCGCGTCCACATCTTGCATGGCTTCGCACATGTAAGGGTGTTTTTTGCATTCAGCATTAAGCCAGACCCCCGCGCTTTGAAACGGTTCCTACCGAGAATCTTACTGTTGGGCCTTCATTTAATTAAAGAACAGGGAGTCTTCAATCCGGGGGAGGTACATCACTTTTACACTGACGTGGCCGCCCATTCACAACGTTCAGCTAGCTCTCGCATCCTCAACCCCAGTTCTGGTAATCATGATTGGTATTGTTTTCCCTAATACGATTTTCATAGTTTCCCTGATTTGGTTCGAATGGCCGATGCGCTGGTTTCTCTTTCATGCGCAACACGACCCCCATCATGCAGACACCACATATGTTGGATGTGCTCCGTCATACTGCGCGTGAAGGGCGTATTATAATGTCAGGGGTAGACCTTGAACCATTTGGATCCCCAAGCCCACAAAAACCTAAAACCTCAAAACCTAAACCCTAAACCCCCCAGGACTTTGACCAGGTAGGAGAATGCAAGCCCAGGATTGGCACATGAACAAGACCGGCCTGTGCGTCTTTGCATGCCTGGATCAGCCTTAGCCTCAGGGAGAAGGTTTAGGGGCTTGAGGGTTTAGGGTTAAACCCTAAATCCTAAGCTCGAAATCCTAAACCCATCTAAACCCTAAATCCCTAAACCCTGAACCCTAAACCTTATGGGAACCATAAATCAGCTTACCGGTGCTTAGGCCGGATTGGGGAGTGAATATAGGTATCAGATTAGGGGTTCTTATGGAGATCACACGGGGGATCCACTCCCCCACTCCGCCTTACGCAAAAGTAAGCCAACCCTAACTAGTTGTTTCCATTTTAATTTCCGCTATCTGAATATACCCCCAATATATCCCCCATATCATCCCTATATAATACTATGAAGGGAGAAGAGAGGGTGGGTTCCTTCTAGGCATCATTGCGGGCCATTTTGTGCTCACTGAGCTTATCCTTCACCGGTGTCCACGCAGACCTTTGCTGGCTCAGGAGTGTAGCCTATCTCAGTCGCAACATGGATCTTGGTGCGAAGGGAGGTGAGAGAAGATCCACGTTTCATGATAAATCCTTCCGTGGTTCTATGCCAAGCTATTTGGGCGAGGACTCAGTGGCGAAGTTGGTGTCCTCAGACCACACGGTACATGTATGACTTTTGGCGTTTGCGTTCTGTAGTCTGCTAGCTACAGCCACGATTCCGGATGGGCAGTTTGTGGCTTCCTCTGGAAGCTCGCTGTATCCTTTAGTGTTCTGGCTGTGTTCCTTGTTACTTGTATCACTCGCAACCGCCGCCTCCTGCTGCTGGTGCTGTCGTAGCTATAACTACCGCTGTGGCTACTGCTATAGCTGTGGCCACAGCCCTCGCCTCAGTTGCTTGCGACATCTCACTGTGCCTGTCACAGGACTTGCCGCGTGGCCATCTGTACCAAGCTGGAGTCTCAGCAAAGGGGACGGTGTTGGGCTGCTGGGGGTGTATCATACTTCCTGTTTGCTTGAGGTGTACCTAGAATTAGTATCCGAGCATCTTGAGTGCATCTAGGGCATTATAGGACTGCTAATCAGGTTAGGGGGAGCATTCAGATATGTTGCTGGGATAATTGCACCACTAGCACAGAGCTGATCCTGAAACTTTGCGGACATTCCATTGCTTTGCTTTGGTAAAGCCTGATTTCTGAAGCTTAGACTTCAATGCTGTATGCCGCCCCAAAATAGAGGGAATTTCGTGGGAGCGCAAAACAGGGAACCCCAAGAATATAGTAGGAATATGAACGGAACGTACCTGCAGGGCCGTTACATTCCTGTAAAGTTCCTTGTACTGTATGTTTCTGGGGTTCCCTGTTTGGGATTCCCATCGTGTAAAGTTCTGCTACGATGCCCATCCCTTGGACTGAAGAGACCCGTCCAAGCTTGTGCTAGTCTGTTATTATTGCTGTTGCATTGCTTTTTTGTTGAGCGTTAGGGTTTAGGGATGAACTTGATTGCTTGTTCCTTATTTGGTGGATTCCATAGCTAGGGGAACACCAAAATAGACCCCAACATATTGTGATCATTATGATTGCGACCACCAAAATGGTACCCCTAACTTTGGGAAACCTGCACCCCAAACCCTAAATAGCAGCTTCCATGTTTCTTTGCCATTATCCTTGTATAGCTCCTAGATACCCCCGCCAAAACGGTACCCCTTACTTTGGGAAACCCCCGTATACCTACATCATCCCGGTCATCCCAGTTTCCATGTCACTTTCAATTTGTTTTTCCATTGTTGGGCTTTCATATCCCTTGTTGCTCATCGTATGTCAACACCCTTCTTTTGCGGGGGTGTCCAAAATCAGTAGTACATTTTCGGGTGTAAGCGTAATAAGGATCATTGTGTTCTGGGGTCTATATTGGGGTCCCCTCTTTATGGAAGCTGCTTTGGTTTGATATGCCTCATGCCTCATACAGTGGAGTTCATAAAGGGACTTTACTGGGAACCACAAACAGGGAACCCCAAGAATATAGCAGGAAAATGATATAGGTATATACCTACCAGTGTCCTTATATTCTATGATATGCCTACTATATTCTTGGGGTTCCCTGTTTGGGGTTCCCAGTAAAGTCCCTTTAGTTCAGTGTCATTGGACTGGAGGCTGCACCTGTACTGAGAGCGGCCCGTCGTTTTCGCTTAAAACAGAGTCGAAGGCACTTGGTAGTTTCCAAAATAAGGGAACCCCAATATAGACCCCAAAATACTATAGCTCCCATTATTGGGACTTTCAAAATGGTACCCCTGATTTTGGGAAACCCCCACTTGAACCCAATGAGACATTGCATTAATGGTAGGCTCTAGGATGAATTAACTACCATTGCTATGCCTATTATTGTTACTCGTCTTCACCCTGAACCCTAACCCCTAAACCCTAAACCAGCGTTGTTACTACTGTTCTTACGGCTACCTCAAAGGAGGTTTGGGGTTCTGGGAATCAAGTATTGCTACACTGGCTTCCGGCTACAGAGCTCGATTTTTGGTTATTTACTGTGCTCACATCCTTGAAGCACGCTTGATAGAGATATGTATGTCAACAGTAAGAGGTTTTTAAACTTCCAGAGGTATAAACGCTGGGAGGAGAAGTTCCGCAAGCTAGGAGTCGCTTCATTTTCTCACAAATCGCTGCCTGCGACTGATCCTGCATGCCTGCATGTCCTGCATACAGCTAAGAGCTGTTGCTGTGAGCATAAGATCTTGCAATAAACTTGGCGAGACAAGCCAAAGACAGCAGTCAAAATCGTGCGCCCTCGATCCGAAGCCCCTCTTGAAATGTGATGGACATCTACATCTGGCGTTGGCTGCAGTTTCTGTATGAATGTCGTGGCCAGAGACGACAACAGGAGTACTATACTGCTTATAGGAGCATCAAAACCATTATCAGTATCACCCGCTCTGCCGCCACCATCACTCCATCAAGCATTGGTATGAAGATGGTGCGCCTCGGCAGCCGGCAGTATTGGAGCTAGTCCGGGCTGACACTGGAAACTATTATAGTATGCTGGTGTAGTATAGGGATAATGGAAAAGGAAATGGAAACAACCCCTCAACCCTAAACAACATAGCAGTTTCCATGTTCTTTTCCATTACCTCTGTCTAACCCCTATAGAACCCCAGTTTCTAGGGCCCTGACACCTTGCCCAGACCGGTAGGAATGTTCAGCAGGGAGTCTGGAAGCACCATGCTTTTGTCAATACTTGGGGGAATATAAAGGGGATAACGGACAAGAAAATGGACACCACTATAATATAATCGGTTCTATATAGGGGTTACATAGGGGATAATGGAAAAGAAGATGGATACGACTATTTAGGGGTATCATATAGAGGTTAGGAGGACCCGCCACCCTGTAATAGTGGTATAAAAGGAATATAAGAGGACCCTAATATAATCCTTATTATTCCTTATAGTCACTATTACTGGGTAGGGGGTCCAC